GCATTTAGAGGAGACTCTAGAAGACGATTCATGTAAGTTCGTCTAACATCCGGATCTGTACATCCCGCTTCAGCAGCCTCTGGATCACCAGAGGTGCGTAGCCGGAAGCGAGTAGAGACTGACGGGGCGCTGCTGTACGCAGCAAGGCCACCCGGTTGATGGCACAACACGACGGGAAGTGATTTTATCTTTCGCAAGAGCGCCAGAACTTATGCGGCTCCTCACGTAGGTGAAATTATTTCCCATATCGATTGGCTCACTTGCAAGCATGAAGTTTGATCCCACCCAATCTCGTAGCACTACTATACGCCGTACACGTGCGAAGCCCGCACCGAATCGTGCAGCAGAATTACTTAGGTTATTTAAGGGTCTGCATTTCGAAGGGTAAAGCAATTTCGAAGGAGAGCAATGCCGTCCATCAGCGAACGCCCCGGGGGTATTGCGATCCCAAAAGCGCTAGAGGCAGGTAAAGAAGATTCGAGTGGCATATTGACCACAAAGTCAGGGAGAGCGACAGAGGGTTTCCTTGCCTGACACCACTGGATGTGGTGAACTCAGGGGAGTTGCCGCAGATACGTAAGCGTCAACGAGATGAGGAAATATAAAGCCTGCATCAGGGACAAGAACTTAAAACGGACACCCTTAATCCCTAGACATCGCAACAGTTTCTGACGATTAACGGAGTCATAAGTATATTAGGGATAGAGATATACGACCATTGTTGCTCGTCAGATGTGATGCAGTTCCAACCCCTACCGCGGGGTGAAGATATCGACGTAACCCGTTAGGGCGAAATCCAGCTCGATTCTCGCCACTTTGACCCTCCCGATGGCGGACCAACTCGGGTAGGATAATGCCAGAGTACCTTAGGAGCTATTGCCACTAAATTGATACCCCAGTGGCTCTCGCACGATGTTCTTACACCCTATTTGAATATGGGAGCCATCGCCGAGGCACTCCGTTCCTTCGGGATTCTTTCTTCATCGTAAAAATCTTGGAATGGTTAGGTGAGCCATAACGAACACGCCACCTTATTTAAAAATTGCAAGGTGTCTTGTTGTGCTGAAGCAATGAGATTGCTAGCTGGACTC